GGCTGCTTTTACTAGTCCGGACTGATGCCGATTTTATAATTCTAGCCCACTGAGATACCATGCTGTAGTTTAAATGAATACCCCACTCAGACACATAATACTGACTCCGGGCCGACCAGTCCTTGTTTCAGCCGTTTTCAAATACCAATTGAATGCATTTGTTTCATATTCATATATATTATTATTCATTGAGACTAATATATACGAAAAACATATTGGTTTCACCAAAGTGGTAACCGTTTAATATGCATCACTTCGGGGCTTTCCTCCCACATTAAGTTGACACGCCGTGATATAACTGGACAACTGTTAAAGTGACGTTAAACCCAACTCACTCACTGATATCAATTGCTTCCCAGCAACCTATTCTGGTCGTAAGAGGAGTCTTAATGGGTCAGGTGGTCAGGCTCGGTGACTTGGTTGATTGCATGTCATGGTACCTCACCCTGCCCGATACCGCGGAAATCTAAATTGGTAAAATAACGATACCGCAAAAGAAAAATAGGTTCATTGGGTGAGGTTTGGACAAATCGCGCGAAAGGAAAAATTGCTTAATAAACGAGGTTGGGACCGATAGCGCGAAAGGGAAAATTGGTTAATTAACGAGGTTTGGACCGATAGCGCGAAAAGGAAAATTTGTTAATAAACGAAGTTGGGACTGATAGCGCGAGAGGGAAAATTGGTTAATCAACGAGGTTGGGATTGACAGCGCGAAAGAGAAAATTGGTTAATAGGCGAGGTTGGGACTGATAGCGCGAAAAGGAAAATTTGTTAATAAACGAGGTTGGGACCGATAGCGCGAGAGGGGAAATTGGTTAATCAACGAGGTTGGGATTGACAGCGCGAAAGGGAAAATTGGTTAATAGGCGAGGGTGGGACCTGACCGCGAAAACAATCACTGGGCTATGAATTGTAAGCAGAGAGAAGTAAAAGAGATAAAGAGAAGTAATTAAAAAGATAATGTCTTTCAGCAAATGTCTGGATTATGAATCTTAACGAGCCGGAAGTGAAGACGATAGAGTTTCATGGAATATGAAGTGTAACCACTAACGCCTAAGGACCACTAACGCGAAGGACAATCTGAGAAGTTTGGGAAAGATTTGAACCCGGTCGGTGTTGCCGGCCTCTCATAATGGACCGACCATTTGATATTAGGGGTGGGGAAAAACAACTGGCAACATTGTAATTTGTGTGGCCGACAATTACTTTCTTTCAACAGTCTGAAGCATAATATTTTTTTTCACGAATTTTCTGAGACAATAGATTATTTTCGATAAAATCCCATGCCCCCTGCAGAATATCAAATACATGTAGTCGGTTGCTAATAGCAATCACCGGTTTGTCTTATTCAAACGCGATTATTTACGGGCAACCGTCTTATAGGTGCAATATTGTTGAGTTTTATCAACAAAGAAGGACAACAAACAACAAACAAACAAACACAGTATCTCAATGTGAAATATGTCCGTCAACCTCTGTTTCAGCCATGGCACACGAGCGATGGCGTCATCATCTAGACTACCTCATCACCATTCTAGGATCAAGCATTGCATCGGGTGTCTTCATTAAGTTTCCCTACTTCTGTATGCGTAATGGAGGAGGTACATCGCTTTCATATTTTGTTTCCTAACTAATTTCTAAAGTCGTTTTAAAAAAACACTAAAACTGCCTGGCAAAAGAAAGTAAACACAAGTTTGATGGCATTTAAAAATGAAACAAACAATAAATTGTTATTCGATGGTGATTTAAAGGTTTTGGTTATCCATCGGTCCGCCTGCTAGAGTAACTTGCCTTTATCAAAGGGAAGTTACTCTAACCATAGTCTATGAGACGTCATGTTTGTGTCGAGTATGCCTGTCCTGCAGAGTCAGATGTACACACATCGACAAAATTAAACAAGGTAACAATTCGGACATATTTCGGCCAAATCCAACTGTTTTAAATTGGGGCAAAGGACTCAAGCCGCAGAGGTTTACAAACACAGATATGGAAACGGATTCCACTAGGCTAGTGTTCTTGGCCTCGCTAAATTGTTTAGCATATTATATCACCAAAGTTGCCAAAACTTGTAAAATGCGCTGCTACATCCCAGTTAGACAGAAATTTTCTGTGTCTTTGACTATTTTTTTTTATAACAATTATCCCTGCAGTTTCTCCAGATTCCCCATGGTAAATTTTGACTCGAACGCCGATTGACAAGGGCGACGCCGTGTATGTTTGTAAATACTGAAAGTAATAAATACCTGAGCTTTCATATTTGCATCTTTATCCGTATATGACCCCAACGGATACCGCTTTATATTCATGGGCTTTATCCTGCCGATAAAAGCAGATACCCTGCCGATAAAAGCAGATATGTCATTCTATTTGAAAATACACTTGACATATTACGGAATCAGTTTTGTGTATCAAGGTAAAGATAACACACCCCTATCACATGTGGAGTAGTATATTTTCGATTCCAACGACTTCAATTTGACTTCGAGAACTCATATAATGAACGATGTTAGTTTGATTACTCAATGAGATATGTCCAATTTTGACATAAACCTACTGTGTTTTGAAATTTAAGGTAGTCTAACTTTAGATTAGATACCTCTTAGTTTTATTTGAAACATAGTGCTTTATATCCGTGGTATATACATCGATGCGTAGACTATCGATAGAACCATGCTTTCATACGCAATGTTTTGGTGTGAAAAGGCATTTTAGTTTTGAGGTATCAAATTAAATTACATACCTGATTTTGACCAATTGGAATCAGTGCTAGTGTCATGGTAGGACTGATAGTAACGTGAATATTCAATGACATTAAGAAGTTTAAATTATAGTTCTATCCGCTTCACTATTCTTTGATTCATGTGCAGGAGCATATATCATCGTCTTCTCCATCTTCACCATCCTTGCGGCCATTCCGTGCGTATTCCTGGAAATGGTCATTGGTCAGTTTTCTCAAGGAGGTCTTATCAAAGTCTGGAACCTATGTCCTCCATTCAAAGGTAGGATGGTATTTGAATTGTTACACCTGCGTTACTTATATGGCCTGAAATAAATTCTATGAAAATAATGGTAAATGATCAGTCTCTTATTCATTTGCGGGATTAACATAGTGAGTGAGTGAATATAGTTTAAGGTCACTTGGAAAATCGATTCCGTTATATCACGGCGTTTTAGCTCGGTGTTGGAGGAAGGCCATAAATGATGGCGATATGAGAATAAGACGTTAATAATTACCACCCACGAGCACAGGTATGGCGCTGATTAACCTAAAAATATCAGGCCGAATGTGAGATTCGAACTGTCGATTGTTGGTTTCTTGCACACCTAGGGTGTGTGTGTGTGTGCGTGCGTGCGTGCGTGCGTGCATGTGTGTGCGTGCGTGCGTGCGTGTGCGTGCGTGTATTGCGTGTTCGTGCATGTGTGTGTGTGTGCGTGCGTGCGTGCGTGCGTGCGTGCGTGTGTGTGCGTGCGTTTGTGCGTGCGTGCGTGCGTGCGTGCGTGCGTGTGTGTGTGTATATCTAAGAAATAAACGACGGGTGGGAGTTGTTTATCGTAAATAAAACACTTCAGGGAGAATAACCATGAGAGGCGCAGACCTGAGTGGTTTATTCTCCTGCAGGTTTTATTGTACGATAAACAACGACCGCGAGTCGATTAATTCTTAGTTGAGATATGAAAATCATGTATAACCTCTTTAATGTTGTTGTTAAAACGCAACCAAATATATGCCCATATTTTAATAATGATGACTCCATGAATAGAATCCGACTTCAGAAATGTCGGACAATTCCTTATTCCGAACAGGTGGGTTAAGTGTGGTAACCTTGTATATTCTCACAATCCTCAAGTCGATCTTCTGTACCTTTTTTCCCCAATACTGAGTGAGTGAGTGAGTGAGTATGGTTTTACGCCGCTTTTAGCAATATTCCAGCAATATCACGGCGGGGGACACCAGAAATGGGCTTCACACATTGTACCCATGTCGGGAATCGAACCCGGGTCTTCGGCGTGACGAGCGAACGCTTTAACCACTAGGCTACCCGACCGCCCCTTTTACCAATACTGATTGTCATATCTCTCCCATTTTGGATGCGATCGTTCGGCCACTGCGTCTATGGGGAACAACTTACCAGACACTTCCTTCTCAAAATTAACGTCGTTCAATATATGACTTCATTAAGATGCGAGCGTATCTCCAGAAATGACGTCATGTTAGAACAATGATTTATCGGGGAATAAACCACCCTTTGTTCTTATGTATCTTTGCGTATGTATAGTATAGTATAGTATAGTATAGTATAGTATAGTATAGTATAGTATACTATAGTATATATATATATATATATATATATATATATATATATATATATATATATATATATAAAAGCAGAGTAAAGTTCTAACTCTCAGGCACAATATAGTAATAATTAAATAAGTGGAGTAAGATTGAACACAGTTTTAATAGGCTAGCGCTTTCAACTCGTACCACGTACGAGTCTCATCAGGCCATAACTGAAAAACGGACATGAAGTAGTATAATATAGTTACGTGACGTCATAACATTTAGAGAACTATGACGTCACAATACCAAGGTGACAATGGACAAATAACTTACGCCTTTACATTTAACTACGGCGCGTATTTATGAATGAAATGTTGCTCTTTTTGAAACAATGTAGGTTCATCATCAAAATTTAGTTTATATAGAAATATATACAATTTCCCGCTATATAAGCTTAATTTTGATCATGAACTATATATTACTACTTCATGTCCGATATTCAGTTATAGCCTGATGAGACTCGTACGTGGTACGAGTTGAAAGCACTAGCCAATTAAAACTGTGTTCAATCTTACTCCAGTTATTTAATTATATATATATATATATATATATATATATATATATATATATATATATATATACAGCCCTTATATATATCGCTCAAAAGGACACATGATGTGTTCACGTTTTTTGCGGAGAATGAAGACTCCCCGTGTTTTGTTTTGCCAGGTATTGGAGTTGGCATCGTAATATCAACCTGGCTCTATAATTGTTACTACAACGTGATATTCTCCTGGTTCCTGTTCTACGCGTACAACTCGTTCTACTCCACCCTTCCCTGGTCACACTGTGACAATCCCTGGAACACACCTCAGTGTATATCTGGCGTTAATGACGTCAATGCGACGTTTCCTAACGTCACTGAAAACACCATACTTGGAGGAACTGTGACCTCTACTAACAGTTCTGTTGCTGGAATGACTGCTGCAGAGGAGTTCTGGAAGTAAGACTTCAAACGGCCTTAACAGGTTCATAAAGAGAATTAACAAATGATAAGGGACCGCCTCCGTGGTTTAGTGGTTGAGCGTCCACCCGGAGAGCAAACGGTCTGGGGTTCGATCCCGGCCGATACCAAAAGACGTTAACAGATGGTACTTGTTGTTACCCTGCCTGGCGCTTGGCATTAAAGGGCTGAAACAAGGACTGGTCGGTTCAGAGTCGGTATACTGTGTCTGAGTGGGGTATTCATGTTAAACTGTGTCATGGTATCTCAGTGTGCCAGCACTATAAATCGGCATCAGTCCGGAGTAGTACAAGCAGCCACACACAATCACAAGCATGCACGTCACTATATAAGTCCAACAATCTTGAACGAAAAATAAAGTGATTAGAAAATGTCTTGACCAGTGACGTCCATTCTTAGGGTGTCATGAGGTTGACGGAGATAATTGCTGCTTGCGCGTGGGTCTGGTTGATACTGGAATGTGGTATAACATTTTAGTTGGTAGGTAATAAGTAATTATTGAAAGGATTGAATCAAATTTGCTATGTCTACCAATGTGCCGAGCCTAGCGCACCCCTAAATTGCATCTTCATGTGGGATTAACATAAATATTCGTTCGTTCCGCACTTTCAGGTTTCAAGTCTTGGAAATCACAGACGGTCTGGGCTACCTTGGAACTATAAGATGGCCTCTCGCTGGGTGCTTGGTCGTCACCTACGTGATTGTGTACCTTTGCGTGTTTAAGGGGATTAACGTGTCTGCAAAGGTATGGCATATCTACGAAACCTCGAGTTGTACCCAAAGGATTTCAGGAAAACAATCTTTCATTTCTATCAATCAAGTAATCAACGAACAATGTCACCGTAATGATGTTGTCGTGGTTTGTTTAGATCGTGTACGTCACCGTCGGCGTCCCCTACATCCTAGTGACAGTCTTCCTCATCCGGGGATGTCTACTTCCGGGTGCAATGGACGGGATTTACTTCTACATCTACCCACAATTCCAAAAACTTCAAGAACCAAGAGTACGATTTTTACGTTTATCAATAAATAAATCAGCATTTAAGAATTTAAGAATATATATAAATAATATTTATGCTTTCTGAGGTGTTCATTTTAATGTTTTGCTTGTATTCGTACCATTTGTAAATATGTTATTTCGTTCTTGTCCAGTTGCTTAAGAGCACATAAATTCAAGAACTTGTAACTTCAAAGAATCTTAAGAACACGTTGAGTGCATGCCCATATGTTTCCTTTGCCACAGATATGGATTGAGGCGTGCAGATTCTCTCTATTCTCGATGGGTATTGCGATGGGATATATCATAACGTTGTCTGGCCACAACAAATCTAACAACAACTGTTTCAGGTAACCTATTAAAACATCTTGTATCTCATTCGAATTCGGGGTCACGGGTGGCCCAGTCGTCTAAGGCGCACGATTCGCTGTGCCGAGTTGCGTCCCTTGGGCAAGCCAGAAACCTATGATTGTGGGTTCGAATCCCGGTTCGCCCCGATTATGTTTCTAGGTTTGTCAGCACCATACCCTTGCTCATGGGTTTCACCGAAGTGGTAAACGTCTGAGACCTGCATCACTTCGGGCTTTCCTCCCACATTATGCTGACAAGCCGTGATATAACTGGAATAGTGTTAAAGGCGACGTTAAACACAACTCACTCATACGAATTCATAAGAATTTTCTAACAAAACGGTTAACAAGTTATGTGTTACAAGGGCTATTAGTTATTTGCATCAAATGGATTGCATGAATCATTTCATTTACGGTTCGGAAGCCAGATAAGTCCAAATATGACTCTTGGTTTGTTAATACTATGCCAACTATCGAGGGTGTCACAGAGTGGTAAGCGTCAGAGACCTGCATCATGGCTTCCCTAGCACTGAAACAATGTTCATTTATTCAAGGAGCTTTACACCCACCTCACTCATTGTGTTATTACTTCTTAATGAGAATTTATATATTATGTACGCTTCTGGTTCATATGGAACACTAAAGACATACTATATGTCAACGCGATAACAGAGAACCCTCGTGGGGACTCCGGGGTAGAATAGGCCCCATTAATCTATGCTGGCCGTATACGACCAATAAATCGCGTGGTCAGGCCCTGTTGATTGTGTGTCATCGAACCCGACGGCAACCCGATGTTGCTCACAATATTAATCACTGGATTGTCTGGTCCAGACTCGATTATTTACAGACCGCCGTCATATAACATACACTCCTAGATGAAATGTGACAAAATTATATATCTGACAAAACAAAACATGATGCATGGTGATATCATTAGTTAGCTGTCATAATACTTCTGACACGCATTTTCTACCAACAGGGACGCCATCGTCGTATGTGTCGTGGATTTGGTTTCAACAATTTTTGTTGGATTTTCCTTCTTTGCGATCGTTGGCCACGTTGCGTACAAAAGTGGAGTAACTGTTGAAGCGTTTGAATCATCAGGTTTGTGGTAACGTCAGGTTTCAAATTTTGTGAAATTAAAATGTGCCTGCAAGACGTTGATAATGCCTTGCCCAGATACAGACTCCTGATCTGACTCCTGACTCCTGAGCGTGCCATGATCCTATAAGATCGTGGGTTCGAATCCAGATTCTCTTCAAAGTTTCGATGCACCTGTTTTAAATGACTCCCGATAAACGACAATTCGAATTGATCTCAACACTACAGGGGCGGTGGGGTAGCCTAGTGGTCAAACTGTTTGCCCGTCACGCCGAAGACCCGGGTTCTATTACCGACATGGGTGCCTTGTGTGAAGCAGATCTTTGGGGTCAGCAGTGATATTGCTGGGATATTGCTAAAAGCGGCGTAAAACCATACTCACTCACTCACTCACACCAGCAGTTATCCGTAATGTGAAGAGATTGTTCATGTCATCCTGACACACGCGCAAACAATGCTACCTGCCTCAGGATACACTCTCTCTTCATGCTTGTCTACCGCGGGATAGAAGTGGTCTAACAGCAGTCATGCGGGATGGACCCAGAGCGCATCATGCTTATCTCTCCGTGGAGATACCGAGTAAGGATATAGCTCAAGTTCCGAATCAGGATAGTTCTCTAGCTCAACAGGATGGGGATTCCGAGCAAAATAGATGTCGAGTACAGCATTCTTACCTTTCCGCGGGGATTCAAAATAGTAATTAATATTTATTTCGCATCTTAACGATTAATCGTTTCTGTTGTTTATATCCAGGGTTCAACCTTGGATTTATCGTCTTCCCTGAAATCCTGACTTACCTCCCCTTGCCGCAGCTGTGGTCTGTGTTGACCTTTGTGACGTTGATGACTCTGGAAATAGATTCAATGGTACCAAACGCAATATAAAAACATAACTGCAACAAATAATTCATGTACATGTATTCACAATGGTGTTCAAGGCAATATCATCTAGCGTTTGTAAATTGACATCGAGGATGTAAAGGGCGGTCGGTTAGCCTAGTGGTTAAAGTGTTTGCTCGTCACGCCGAAGACCCTGGTTCAATTCCCCACATGGGTACAATGTGTGAAGCCCATTTCTGGTGTCCCCCGCTGGATATTGCTGGAATATTGCTAAAAGCGGCGGTAAACCATACTCACTCACTCTCGGATGTAAAATATAACACTGTATAGCCATTTTTCAACTGAAGCCTTCTCGAGCATCTTTATTCTAAGAAACCCAAGCATGCAAGGTGAGTAATTTCGATTTAATGGCGATTTTTTCCAGGTGCCTACTGTTGACATATTGATGGAAGCCTTTGGGGATATCTTTCCCACTTCAGCCAGACGACGTTGGCTTGTTGTTGGTGGCATTCTGTTGAGCAATTTCCTTATGGGCATCGTACACATCACACAGGTATAAATCGGGAAGGATTTGTCTTTTTCAGATTTTGTAAACGATGTATTCATGTATGTAATATATATTCTGCGTGGGAATGATTAAATCATGTAATTCCTAATATATACAATACATGGTAACAAAAACGACAAAACACTTAAAAAAACACACGATTCCCACTACACAATAAGCATGCGTCTATGGATCCAAACTTCCCCATCTACATGTACACGATTCATGATAAGTTGGGTGGTCGGGTAGCCTAGTGGTTAAGGCGTTCGCTCGTCACGCCGAAGACCCGGGTTCGATTCCCGACATGGGTACAATGTGTGAAGCCCATTTCTGGTATACCCCGCCGTGATAATGCTGGAATATTGCTAAAAGCGGCGTAAAACCATACTCACTCACTCACTCATGGTCAGTCACCTCACCTTACCAATAGTGGATGTGTAAAGATTTTATTTCGTTTGTTTATTGTAACGTCGCGTCCAAGATTATTGCACTTATATAGCGACGTGCATGTACGTGTGTGTGTTTGTATGGCTGCTTGTACTAGTCCGGACTGATGCCGATTTATAGTGCTAGCTCACTGAGACACCATGCCGCAGTTTAACATGAATACCTCACTCAGACACAGTATACTGACCCCGAGCCGACCAGTCCTTGTTTTAGCCCTTTAATACCGAGCGCCAGACAGGGTTTCAACAAGTAACATCTTTTAACGTCTTTTTGTATGACGCGGACGGGGATCGAACCCCGTACCTTCCGATCTCCGGGCGGACGCTCTACCACTAGACCACGGAGGCGGTCCTACTATTGGTTTATGAAACGATATGCTTCATGATACTTGTCATGTCAAGGTATCTATAAACTATGTAGTACCATTTATACTCACGTTAAAACTATATTTATTTTTCAGGGCGGCATCTACGTACTGACTCTGTTTGACTGGTATGCCTATTTCCCCTCTCTTGCTCTCTACGCCATGTTGGAGTGCGTTGTGGTGGGCTGGTGTTATGGTAAGAGGTTATTAGATACGTTTGTAAGATCTTCTCCACACCCCTCCTCTTATCTCGTGCACACCCGTATGCCATCTACAGTCTCATTCACTTTTGAAAAATATTCTCACATATGGCCTATCCCAGTGAGTATGTGAGGGTATGTGAGGGTATGTGAGGGTATGTGTAAATAGTGGAAATTCTGCTATGAAACAAAGGTGGAAAAAGTATTAACAGCTAAAATGAAAAACAAAAATAGGTTATAACGCCTTCGGTGGGAAGGGTGGCTGAAAATGTCCGCACTGTCATCACGTATCCCAAACTGGAAGAGCTTACTCCTACATCCATTCATGCCATGGGCGGATACAGCTTTTTTGAAAAGGGGGGGGGGGGGGGGGGGGGGGGTGCACAATTAAGGTCTATTTATTGTCTTTGGTGGTAATTTATACAGAAATAAAGATTCCTTCCTTTGCCACTGCCAGGAGGTGGGGAGTTGAATTCTAGAGGGGAAGTGAGAGCCTCGAAGATGATCCAAGACCAAGACCTTCAACTGCCAGTAATGTGAAAAATATTACAAATGATAAACTACATGATATGACTATTGATGATCGACGACTCACTACACGTCACAGCTCAAGACAGCTGCATCTCTCATAACACCACAACAGATTTGAGAAAATTCCAAGAAATGGACTGGGCATGACAAATGTTTCAGTACGCCGTGTTCCAAGGCATATGACTCCTTATCAGAAACATCATCTCTCGTAAGAATTTACGTCGGTTTAAAGCCGGTCGAGCTGAGTTTGTTGAGTGATTTCTGACCGTGAATACGTCTTTGGTTCACCACCACCAGCCAGAGTGAGTATGGTTTTACGCCGCTCTTAGCAATATTTCAGCAATATCACGGCGGGGAACACCAGAAATGGGCTTCACACATTGTACCCATGTCGGGAATCGAACCCGGGTCTTCGGCGTGACGAGCGAGCGCTTTAACCACTAGGCTAACCGACCGCCCCCATCAGCCAGAGACTAAAACAAAGTCAAAGCATTGGACAGATCTAACGTCTCTTCCAAAGAAGAAGGCAAGGTCCGTTCCATCAGCTGGCAAGGTGATGGTTTCCGTTTTCTGGGATTTCCAAAGGAATCCTATTGGTGGACTACCTCCCGAAAGGTCAGACCATTAACGGACAATATTATTAACTTGCTTCAGCGACTGCGTGAGGCTACACGTTGTAGGGAACCCATTACAGTTGTATTGGTCCACCCGGACAAGACTGGTCGTCACGGCTACAACGCATCACTGTCGCTTTGAACTTATTGAACATCCTCCATATTCACCAGATTTGACATCGTCAGATTTCCACTTCTTCCACTTTCCAAATCTGAAGAAGGGACTGTCTGGCAAGCATTATGCAAATGAAATGACATCAGCTGTGCTGCGGAGAATTTTTACCAACATGAGAAAGCTTTCTAGAAAGTCAGTGGGATCTAGACACTCCAGCATCGTTGGCTGAAAAGTGTGGACCTTGGAGGGGATTATGAAACATAATCCCCCACTGAGGCCATCAACGCAGTTAAGCATTCATTCATTCATGATTGAATGAATGACAAACTAGTTAATGAGACCATATAAACTGTATTGTATCTTGATGCATGTCATCGTATCCCAATTGCTCAGGTCAATGCTCATGATGTTGATCACCGGATTGTCTGGTCAATAATGGTCTGGTCCTTTCAAGAATCTATTGGCTCATTGCAAATATACGTATGATATATTATGTTGATAGTATGGTAGTATTTGACATTTACCCATCTCTGAAAGTGGTCATGGGATGATAACATACGCGCATTGTCAAGTTTAACCATGAATTTGTGACATGACATTATTTCATTTTGTCGGATTTGAAAGGGTCTCCAGCAATGTGCTTGTCGTAAGGGGCGACTAAATGGATCAGTCTTGGTAACCGTGAAGACATGGGGCGTTGCTTAGAATATCAGTAACTGGCTTGTCTTGTCGAAACGTGGCGTTAGAGAAGCAAACCTATTGTCAGGTAATACATGATATATGCATGAATATTATTTTATTATCGTTGTTTTTCGCTTAAATGCAGGCACACAGAGACTTGAAGATGACATCGCCATCATGTGGGGAAAGAGCATCCCAAGGATCATCATGATAGCAATCCGATTCATCTGCCCTGTGCTGATGCTGGTGAGCTTTATATATCACGATTGATGAAGATGTTACTCTCGGTGTATACGATAGGGTGAGGTGAAATGGGGTCCAACGTCGTGTAGAGATTATGCACTTATGTAGCGACGTGAATGTGTGTGACCATACCGCAGATTAACATGGATACCCGGCTCATACACAGTATACAGACTCGCAGTCAAACAGTCCTTGTTTTAGCCCCGTAATACCGAGTGCCAAGCCGGGTAACAAGGTTCTTCCTCATGTGGCCCCATAACGAACCCCAGACCTTTCGTTCTCTGGGCGGACGCTCTACCACTAGACCACGGAGGCGATCGTATAAAATAGGGAGTATTTACGTATAATATTGTTAGTCCTACAGACACTTGTTTTGTGAAGATTGTTATTGGTGACGAGAGTTTTTACACCAATAGTCTTAGTTGTATATCCGACTATATATCTATTTCAACAGGACTCACTCATATTTCGATTATTTTATTAATTTGTGACTTCGCTGAAGAGTACCTTGCCCTTTATGTTTTGATTTCTTCAAAAAACCACCTCAGTTAATAAAAACATATTTTGTGGGAAGTGTTTACATATCTTCGCAGAAACGAATAGGCTCAGGGAGTTGACATTAGTTTGTTTGTTTATTTGTTGTTTAACGCTGCACTCAGCAATATTCCAGCTATATGACGGCGGTATGTACATAATCGAGTCTGGACCAAACAATCCAGTGATTAACATCATGAGCATCGATCAACGCACTTGGGATCGATGACATGCATCAATCAAGTCAGCGAGCCAGCGAGCCTGACCACCCGATCTCATTAGAACATTGCGTTAGATTAACACAGCGGTGGAGATGTAAATAAATATAATTTATATCATAGTAGGCACCACCATGTGTACACAGGCCGGTGTTGACGATGTTGTGAACAAACAAGAGTGAGTGAGTGAGTATGGTTCAACGCCGCTTTTAGCAATGTTCCTGCAATATCACGGCGGGGGACACCAGAAAATGGGCTTTACACGTTGTACCCATGTGGGTTATCAAACTAGCGTCTTCGGCGTGACGAGCGAACGCTTTAATCACTAGGCTTCCCCATTGCCCCTGAACAAACAAGACATTAAATATCAGAAATAAAGATTAGCCTAACGCGTTTTCGTATACATGTGTTTTGATTTTAAATGGTATAAGGAAGTACAGTTTTATCATAAGAGCTTATGGTAACTATAGTATTACATATTTCGAGACCCGTGAAGATCCGGGGTGGAATAGGTCTTCAGCAACCCATGCTTGCCGTTGAAGGCGACTATGCTTGTCGTAAGAGGCGACTAACGGGATCGGGTGGTCAGGCTCGCTGACTTGGTTGATGCATGTCATCGTATCTCTCATGCTGTCAATTACTGGATTGTCTGGTCCAGACTCAATTATTTACAGACCGCCGTCATATAGCTGGAATATTGCTTAGTGCGGCGTTAAACAACAAAACAAAACAAACAATAACATATTTCGTTATTCTTAGTATTTTTTGTATTCCTGCAGATCATCTTCTGCTATTCCTTGTATTCCTATCGGCCTCCAAAGTACGGGGACTACATCTACCCGGCATGGGCCACGGGCGTGGGCTGGATGATTTCAAGTGCGTCAATCCTTCCTTTCCCCGTGCTGTTTCTGTGGACGTTGTACAAGACTCCAGGAAATACACTTAAGGAGGTAAGAGTGAGTGAGTGTGTGAGGTTTTACGCCGCTTTTAGCAATATTCCAGCAATATCACGGCGGGGGACACCAGAAATGGGCTTCACACATTGTACCCATGTCGGGAATCGAACCCGGGTCTTCGGCGTGACGAGCGAACGCTTTAACCACTAGGCTACCCGACCGCCCCTAAGGAGGTAAGATGAAGTCCCGATTGTCAGTGCCTTCAAACGGATACCACGACACACGTTTCAATGTGATGTGATGTCCGTCACGCTGCAATCGAGATACAGGTAATGTGGAGTCATTCATGCATTCATGCATTCACTTCCGAAAATGCATTTTCGTGGCTTCGTGGTTTCGTGGATTATAACGAATTTGATCCCCAGTAGTGTTTGTTTGTTGTTCAACGCCGCAGTTAACAATAGTCCAGCTGTATGACGGAGGTCTATAAATAATCCAGTCTGGACCAGACAATCCAGTGATCGACATCATGAGCATCGATCTACGCAATTGGGATTCGATGACATCCATCAGCGAAGTCACTGAGCCTGACAACACGATCTCGTTAGTCGCCTTTTACGACACGTATTGGTTGCTGAAGACGAATTCTAACCCGGATCTGCGCGGGACATTCATGTCATTGACGAAGTGGAGTACAAAAAGGAAGCCGAGCGTTTTATTTCAGCTCGTTTCGAACTGGCGATGACGCTGGGATATCTTCCCGAAAACTGCATTGTCCATTTCAAGTTTGACGGGATTATACGAATTTGACCCCCACTGAGAACTATGTTCACCCCTATTTTAATGATTTAACATGCTTTCAGAAATTGCGACAGTCACTCAAGCCGAACACGCACTGGCGCCTTCAGTCTGCAGAGGACACTCCATGTGACGTCGCTCTGCAACATGTGCCAGAGGACGAGGAGGAGGACGAGGACAGGCAAAAGGACTCCCTGCTTTGATTAATGCTCACTGTTCTCAGAAGATAGAGAGAATTGCCCCCCAGCCACATTAGTCAAACTTCCGCTATGCAATCATGCAAATAAGTAGAATATTAAATGTCAAATAACATACCCCTGATGTCTCGAACCCTGGATAACTCGAACTTTCTTCTAGGTCCCCCCACCCCGAGTTAGACACAAGGAGGGTCGACTGTACAGGATCTGTCAATTGTTTTGTTTTGAGTTATACATAACAAATGTATATCGTACGTTTATAAGTAAATAAATGAGTATAATTATGTATTTCTAGTATTTATTTTACTTTTTCAAAGAATAAAAAAAGTCAATCGACCGGTTACGTGACTGGTTTTACATTTGACAAATTCCTTTGCTTGTCATGAAATTATGGATTCCCAATTCTATCTTTGTCCCCGAGACCTCACGTTAACGGCTGGAAATCCTTTAACTAATTTTCGTATTCAGCGGGTATTCCTTACTTATTATTTACTGTTTGATTGTCACAATTTGCAAATTCAAACCCCGACACAATCTATATATATTTCGGGAAATATTTATGTAAGTTGGCTCATGGTGTTTCGTTTAAAACGATTCCTTCCTTCCACGACTGGTGTTTTAGGGTACTTCAACATTGTGGAGTCGCGTTTCCGTTACATCAAGGGCAGTTTCCTCTGCCATTTTTATAAGCTATGTTGACCTATCCATTTTTGCCAGCTGCCTTGAAATAATGATGATGGTTTTCTTTGCCCAAATCGGTTATTTCGGCACGTATTACTTCATAATCCAATGCCTTTGTTTTAAAAAACCATTTAACGACAGGCCACTTGTTACCTCAGCACCATGGTCGTTATAAACCTACTGGCTGTTGGTGTAACTCGATATGGAGTTTTTGAAATTGTGGTAACACCTCGCAGGAGGGCTTACAATCATTGTAAACCCTTAATAGAGCAAAAACTACGAACAGCCTACGAGACGCACGTGCAGATTTCGTGCCATTGCGAGACGCACGTGCAGATTTCGCACCGTTGCGAAAGCCACGTGCTGAGGTTGTAACGGAAGTTTACACGCTACACTCGCCACAACCGGAACAGGAAGTTACCTTGGTTCATACGGGTGTTTCGAACATCCGGGTATTGGAAAGGGGATATTTAAGCTCGTGCGTGCCGCACGAGCTTCAGTCAGCGTCTGGCTCGGGGGACAGGCTTGCCGGAATCTGTGCTCACGTGCGTTCGGTATGGTAAGATAATTGTATTGGTAGTAGTTTGTTCTTTTTATTTGCCCAGTCACACCATTTTTTTTTCTTTATGGGTAGGTTATCATGTTTGTTATAATGGGATAGATTTAGCACGTAACTTAGTAATATTTTCTGCTGGAAATTGTGTGCCAGTGTTGGTTAGGCTAAAGAAGTTTCAAAACTTTGGACCCGGTGAGTCAACCGAGTGTGTTAGATATGTTCGAGGACTGTGAATAGTGAAAGCGTTTGACGCCTCTGTGTCTATCGTTCGACCGAGTGTGTTCGATATGTTCGAGAACTGTGAATAGTGAAAGCGGTTGACGCCTCCGTGTCTATCGTTCGATATTGAGAATACTTCCATTGGTTTGTAACAACCAGTTTGTGTCTGAACATGTAACACATGTATACTGGTCGAGAATACTTCCATTGAGTTGTCACCAGTTTGTGTAGGAATTTGTAACACATGTATACTGGTCGAGAAAACTTCCATTGGTGTGTAAACCGTGTCTGAACATGTAATGCATGTATACTTGTCGGTAATACTTCCGTGGTTTTATATTTAGTGGGTTCTGAACTGGAAATTCTTGTATATCATTTACAAAACACTTGAAAATGGTAATAAATCAGTATGTGGAATAATATTGTAGTTTGTCCCTTTGTTTAGGATTTAAGCTTTACTCTATCACTGAGTGCCACCCAAACTGGGAGAACCTCGTTTGAATATTTGTAAGCGTAACAAGAGTTTATGCAAACTCTTGAGGCGGGAAATGAGTCTTTAAAAGTAAATCGCTTACAAGGTCACCAGTTTCATTGAACCGAGTTCACGACTGCAGGTGATATTTCATCTCCGATACAGGTTATACATTTGAGAGTTTTTATTAGTTATTTAATCAAAAAACGTTTATGCGATGAGTCGGTTTATAAGTTGAACAAACCATTTCTCCCCTGGATTACCAGCGATTGTAAACCCTGACATGAGGTGACATACCGAGGGGGCCGTAGGCGTATACAAGTGAGTGAGTGAGTTTGGTTTTACGCCGCTTTTAGCAATATTCCAGCCATATCACGGCGGGGGACACCAGAAATGGGCTTCACACATCGTACCCATGTCGGGAATCGAACCCGGGTCTTCGGCGTGACGAGCTAACGCTTTAACCACTAGGCTACCCGACCGCCCCGTAGGCGTATTCAAGGTATTTAAGACCCCTACAACCATACAATCGACCCCATTCTCGTTGCTTCTTTCATTGGTATCGGTGAGCCGTTGTTTTTCCACTTTTGTCTGTCACATTTTACAGGGTGATATTGCCATTTTGCTCATTCCCTTGTAATACTTTTATTGTAGAGACACAGTAAGCTCCTTCGTTGAGATTTTTGCTATTCATCGTCTTGCTCATTTCTAAGTCATTTAACGTTTTGATTATGGATGTTCTTAACAATAATGCTTGTTTTCAATGGCTGGCCTTTGACAAGGTCCTGGTAGTGGACCCGACACTTGCGGGCACCCAACGAGGCCATTCGGCTCGTATAGCTGAAGGTCAGCGCACCTGCACGACCATTAAGCTGTCCGATATTTTTCCGCGCTACCATTTTGGAAGGTGGTTTTGTATTTGGCAGGTTTATTACCCTGCCTAACTGAACTCGGTAAAATGGATGATGCGGCGCTAGGACAGGTAACGTTACTGGCGGAGTATTTCCCAGCACAATACGTGTTCCTTGCCTGTGTGCAAGCGGCATTATCCAGACCGGCCCCATTTCGCACCATGGAAGAATGGATAACGCGGGCCAGCCATATCTTGCCGATTCATCTCATAGCGTCTGTCCAATTTTTTTACTTTCTGGAAATAGAGTATGGGCTGCCGTCGTGTCGAATTGTGCGCCATACGGCTATTTCATCCACCTTCAGTGCCCCATCAGTGGCCCGTGTTGTATCCCAGACACGGAGTAGATACCAAAGATGGTTACGACAGCCGCTTTGTGTCTACTGCAAGACTCCGGTTACTCTTGAACTCGGGTTGGCTGTACAGATCGTCCCGTTGCCATGTTGCTTTGCAACAATCCATAGAGCGTGCTCTCTCCGTTTTAGGTCGTTACCTAGATTCCCGCTTAACATCCCCGAGGTATTTTGTCCGGCGTGCGGAGCCCCTTACGTGAAAGGGCGACTTGCCCTTCAGGAGATATTTACACGCGTACGTTTTTCATGGTTATCTAATAATTTCTTAATGTAAACGTAATTCTGGGTCTATGGTCGTCTATTATCTGTGTTTCAATGTGTGCTCTCAGCCCATCCTTTAATAATTATATATGTTCTTCGTTTTGGTGTTATTAACTACAAAGAATTTGCTGAAAGTTGTTAGTAAGGATTTTATAATAGTTTATCCGACTATACTGCTGAAACAGTCCATGGGTTTTTGCGATTTGTTCGTGCTTATTAATGTCTTTTTATTATTATATTGGTCTACGCAAGTGAACATGCAATGAGTAGTCCAGAAATTCGATTCCTGCCGGTATGATCCTTATATGTTTAAACATATTTTATTCAGATTGAAATGGATTGGGAACAAGTTATCCAACTTAGGACTCCCTCTCCATGGTATTTACAAAAGCTTGTACAGTAAATCATATACAGGGAAAACAGAAAAGAAGATGAGTGTGTAGCTAACAAAAGAAATTTACAAAAGAGATACGAGTATTTTTACATTAAAGTGTTACCCAAATCTCTTTGTATGACTTAAAAACATTTGCACTGCCTTAAAGATATGTTGATTTTCGATAATACACAAACATTCATTTCCGTTTAACATCAAATTTAAATCTAATTTAACGTTTTTGTACACGGCGTTCTGTAAAATGTCCCGAATTATTATTAACATAGATTTTCTTTGGTGGACATACAATGTACACTCCAATAACTAATGAAATGCCGCTTTACATGGATTACCATATTGGATCACATTTTAACTCTATTCTGTATAAATCATAATTTAACTGGCTTTTCATGTATCTTAATCTTAAGATGTATCTTAAGTATGATAAATATTCAACTTGCTAACACCATAGGAAAAATATGGAGGTGCAATAACTTGCTCTTTTTGTATGTATGTCTTGAATTGGGATGTAGATGTACAATTTCTACCTGCTGCAGGAATAGTGTTCCATAACCTTACAGTTGATGGAATAAAAGAACACGTTGAGTGTTTTAATCTGGTATATGTACTCAACATGTTCTTTTATTCCATGATCCTTATATCCAGATATGCATATGCCAGAAGACTATAATTGTTTATATAGTCTTATTTTTACAGGCAGAAGTCTGAGCTGCAGATGTCACATCTTCATATGTATAAATATTCTATAGTTGGTATGGTACTTTTCACTTGCTGGTCGTGAATTACCAGTATTTTTAAGTGTTGTAGATGATGGCCGTACCCCATTCTATAGGGGGGGAGAGTAGTCTGCACCATGACCGTGGAATATATTTATTTTATGAAAAAATAATAATCTAGAAACGCATACAAAAGCAAGTCTAGCCAGCTCAAGCTAGCTCTATTCCAAATATATTTTTATTTTTAGAGTCAAAGATATTGTGTAATATAAGATTTCAGAGAGTAAATGTTAGTCTAGGGGGAGAGTCAAGCACTTCCCCCGCTGTTGTCTGGTCCACGCCAACTCATTAATCTGGCTTCTGGCTCCACGCTGGCTGTCGAGGGTGTAGGCTGTCCTATCACCTCTGCCGCTGAACACAGACCGCATGCCACCGGGGGTTATC